GAGGGTTGTTGTACAACTCCTGCAGCTTCTTACTCTTATCTTGCATGTGTTTGTTGATCTTGCGTTTGTGTTTGCCGGCGAAAGCGATGGAGTAGCCGCGTAGCGTGTTCTTGAAGAGATCCCATGCGTAAACGGAGCTAGTGAGTGTCGATTTCGGGTTGCATTCAGGGTGGTCAACTCTGGTTTTGAGGGCGAGGATTGTGCGCTCCATATTTGCTATGTATTCATCTATTTCCAATAAACTTGTATTGAATCGCCACACCGGTCGCCCTGGTAGCTTTGGCTTATTTGGACAGATGGTAGTACATAGTGGCCAGTGATCTGATCTTGGTGCCGTCAATACTCTAGGTAGACTGCACCTTCTCGCTACCGTCGATGTAGCTAGTATGTGGTCTATACGAGATCGACTGTCACCTGATGGGCTGCGCCTGGTATAGAGTTTGATGTCGGGATGATAGTATCGTACAGTGTCTATCAAACGGAATTGCGTTATCACGTTTGAATAGTGAGCCCATTCGTCTCTTGGTTGTCGTGGCGGTGGTGCTCTATCTAAGTGAGGATTCGGTGTGGCGTTGAGGTCGCCTAATACCATCATGTGAGGATGTGGGGTGATGACATGGCGTAGTGCTGTGCAGAAATCTGGCTGTTGAGGTGGATCAGCTGGCGCGTAGACGCAATATATAACCAGGACCGGCCATGGTATATTTGGTCCAACTATTTCCGCTCTTAACACTCTGCCGTCTAGGTATGGTGTAGGTGTGGAATTAAAAGATAACGAGGAGTGTGGGTTTAAAAGAATGCCTGTATAAGGAGTCCATGCTGCTGGTCCGCCCCATTGAGTAGTCCACCAGTGGTGATCATTAGAACACGCGTTTGTTTCCTGTAAGGCGATAATGTCTATGTTTTCGTTTTTAATGTGTGTGAAAGTGATTGATCTATTATTGGAGTCACGTATACGGTTGACGTTCCATGTTGCGATATGTATATTACGTGTCGTCATTATTGATTGAGTGAATGATTGCTGTCCATTGTTGGTGGACTGGTGGTGGACGTGGTGGTAGCTGTGTTCATAGATGATTCATTGTGTTGTGTTTGGGTATGTTGCGTTGCACTGGACGGGAATTCCAGGATAGAGCTTGGATTATCCTCGTTTGCCGTAGGGCTGACCTCGTTCTCAAAGCTGTCGACCATCTCTACTATGTGTTCTGTCTGCTTTGCGGGTGTGCCTTGTTCGGCTGAGTGAATCTCCGGAGCTAGGAGTGGAGTTGACGGGACTGTGGATGGGCTCACGACGTTCATCAAAGGAGCAACTTCCTTAATAAGTGTGGGTTGTGGGCCGGTGTTATTGGATTTGGTGTGTTTCTTCGTGATTTTTGATTGCGCTGTATATGGATGTGAGTTGCTTTGGGGAGGTGCTGGTGTCGTTTTCCGGACAGCTTTCCTCTTCCGTAGCGGGCGGCCTTGCAACTTAGCGTCCAGACTCTCTCGCAACTCGCCGATCGTCCTCCGCTTGGCCTCCTTCTTCGGTGCTGTCCTCCTGTCGACGTCCTTCATCTCGTCATCTTCGTCTTCCTCCTCTGTTAGATATTGATCCTCTGCTAGATCTTCATCCATATCACTCAGTACTTCGAATGAATTCGTAGACGGCTGAATTGTCTGCTCCTTTGGCGACGGAGGAGGAGGAGAATTTGGCCGATGTCCAACTTGAGTGAAGTGTTCCTCATCTTGTGGGCTATCTTCCTCAAGCGATTGGATGGATGCGCTGGTCGAGGGTTGTTCGAGTAATGTTGCAGGCTGTGCGTCGTCTTCACCATTAGCAACTGATGGTGGCGCACTGTCCTCGTGTTGTTCCGCCTGTTGGTCGGTTGGGCGGTTATTATTTTGACGGAAACGTTTACGTATGTTCGTGCAATCATCCGTTTGGTGATCCGGTTGTTTGCAGATTCGACACGCTGTACGTTTTTGTTTCCAATAGACGTTAGCTTGAGTGTTTATAACTTGTATTCTGCTGGGGAATACCTCTGGTAACGTGGATGTAGATGTAGGCAATATTATTATATCCGCTCTACGTACGAATATTCTACCTTTACCAATAGTGTGAATAGCCGTATCTAACACGGTTCCATATTGAGAGAAGGTCTCAATCAGAGCTTTGGTAAGAGTGACTGCGTCAGTAGCTGGTAAATCTGTGGCAGTGGCTGACAGTACCTGGTCATCCGCTGCATATAATCTTTGTAATGGAATTTGTTGGTTCTTGTATGTAATACCGGTGTTTAGAAAACCCAATAATAACTCTTCCGATTTCATGGAGAAAGTTACAGTCAGTTGACGTTTGGAGGGGTCTCCGTACTCCGCTGCATCACCTACCGTATCTGCTACGTGATCTAATGCTTCATTCCATTCATTTTGAAAAGCGTTTAAGTCGCAATGTAGGGTATAGGTGTATGCGTAGTTGGCTACATGAGGAGGAGAAAAGTATTGTAAGGGCGCGCCTATTTCCGCCTCTCGCAGATGAAACGTGCTCCATTTTCCATATACTGAACGATTTTTTTGATTTCTTTTTTGAGCTGTTGGGGGAGGCAGATCCGGTTGACCGGCAGCGTCTCTATATGATCGAGGCTGAGCATATATGGACTCATTGCTGTTTTGCGGAACTGCAATCATGATTAGCTTTTGCGCCTTCGGCGGAACGTCGAGGCGCAAAAGAGAGAATAAATGTCAAACGAGTTGACGAGCAATAACGGTAAAGAGAGAATAAATGTCAAACGAGTTGACGAGCAATAACGGTAAAGAGAGAATAAATGTCAAACGAGTTGACGAGCAATAACGGTAAAGAGAGAATAAATGTCAAACGAGTTGACGAGCAATAACGGTAAAGAGAGAATAAATGTCAAACGAGTTGACGAGCAATAACGGTAAAGAGAGAATAAATGTCAAACGAGTTGACGAGCAATAACGGTAAAGAGAGAATAAATGTCAAACGAGTTGACGAGCAATAACGGTAAAGAGAGAATAAATGTCAAACGAGTTGACGAGCAATAACGGTAAAGAGAGAATAAATGTCAAACGAGTTGACGAGCAATAACGGTAAAGAGAGAATAAATGTCAAACGAGTTGACGAGCAATAACGGTAAAGAGAGAATAAATGTCAAACGAGTTGACGAGCAATAACGGTAAAGAGAGAATAAATGTCAAACGAGTTGACGAGCAATAACGGTAAAGAGAGAATAAATGTCAAACGAGTTGACGAGCAATAACGGTAAAGAGAGAATAAATGTCAAACGAGTTGACGAGCAATAACGGTAAAGAGAGAATAAATGTCAAACGAGTTGACGAGCAATAACGGTAAAGAGAGAATAAATGTCAAACGAGTTGACGAGCAATAACGGTAAAGAGAGAATAAATGTCAAACGAGTTGACGAGCAATAACGGTAAAGAGAGAATAAATGTCAAACGAGTTGACGAGCAATAACGGTAAAGAGAGAATAAATGTCAAACGAGTTGACGAGCAATAACGGTAAAGAGAGAATAAATGTCAAACGAGTTGACGAGCAATAACGGTAAAGAGAGAATAAATGTCAAACGAGTTGACGAGCAATAACGGTAAAGAGAGAATAAATGTCAAACGAGTTGACGAGCAATAACGGTAAAGAGAGAATAAATGTCAAACGAGTTGACGAGCAATAACGGTAAAGAGAGAATAAATGTCAAACGAGTTGACGAGCAATAACGGTAAAGAGAGAATAAATGTCAAACGAGTTGACGAGCAATAACGGTAAAGAGAGAATAAATGTCAAACGAGTTGACGAGCAATAACGGTAAAGAGAGAATAAATGTCAAACGAGTTGACGAGCAATAACGGTAAAGAGAGAATAAATGTCAAACGAGTTGACGAGCAATAACGGTAAAGAGAGAATAAATGTCAAACGAGTTGACGAGCAATAACGGTAAAGAGAGAATAAATGTCAAACGAGTTGACGAGCAATAACGGTAAAGAGAGAATAAATGTCAAACGAGTTGACGAGCAATAACGGTAAAGAGAGAATAAATGTCAAACGAGTTGACGAGCAATAACGGTAAAGAGAGAATAAATGTCAAACGAGTTGACGAGCAATAACGGTAAAGAGAGAATAAATGTCAAACGAGTTGACGAGCAATAACGGTAAAGAGAGAATAAATGTCAAACGAGTTGACGAGCAATAACGGTAAAGAGAGAATAAATGTCAAACGAGTTGACGAGCAATAACGGTAAAGAGAGAATAAATGTCAAACGAGTTGACGAGCAATAACGGTAAAGAGAGAATAAATGTCAAACGAGTTGACGAGCAATAACGGTAAAGAGAGAATAAATGTCAAACGAGTTGACGAGCAATAACGGTAAAGAGAGAATAAATGTCAAACGAGTTGACGAGCAATAACGGTAAAGAGAGAATAAATGTCAAACGAGTTGACGAGCAATAACGGTAAAGAGAGAATAAATGTCAAACGAGTTGACGAGCAATAACGGTAAAGAGAGAATAAATGTCAAACGAGTTGACGAGCAATAACGGTAAAGAGAGAATAAATGTCAAACGAGTTGACGAGCAATAACGGTAAAGAGAGAATAAATGTCAAACGAGTTGACGAGCAATAACGGTAAAGAGAGAATAAATGTCAAACGAGTTGACGAGCAATAACGGTAAAGAGAGAATAAATGTCAAACGAGTTGACGAGCAATAACGGTAAAGAGAGAATAAATGTCAAACGAGTTGACGAGCAATAACGGTAAGAGAGAATAAAATTTTTTTTTTTTTTTTTTTTTTTTTTTTTTATTATAAATGAATTAAACAGGGTTATAATAACAAACAATTGACAAACAGCCCAATGCCCACGGAATGGAATGTGTCTTGCGAGTGCAGACCACGGTTGTGTAGCAGAAAACCAACTAGCATATAGTCGGTAGGTTAATAAATGTCAACATTTCTGTTAACTAGTTAGAAATGATACCTTTTTCCCTATGACGGGATTGGCAGGAATCGAACCCAGGACCTATTCGTCCGAGAAATAGAGCGTAACCACTTGGCTACAACCCCATCCTCTTAAAAAACGCGATATCGGCGTTTTTTGGCCATTTTACAATGAATAGAATACCAATCACATAACCAAAAAATAACAACTACGTTCATAGCGCCTGAAAAGCACCGGATCCCGTCCGATCTCCGAAGTTAAGCCAGGCCGCGCCCCCTTAGTACTGCGGTGGGAGACCACGCGGGAATCTCGGGTAATGTAGTTTTCAACATGCGTAGTTGGTTTAGTGGTATAATTACCGCCTGCCACGCGGTAGACCGGGGTTCGATTCCCCGACTACGCACTGATCTTTTTGCTTTTGCTACATCTGAATTGCATGTAGATTACATGAGGAGTAACATTTTTATTACATAGTTTTCCAACCAGCTGGTACTGCTAGCTTTTAACTTTTGTTTATTATAATGCATATGTGTCTAGTGTATTCTGTATTCTGGCTACTTGAATCATTTTATGATGTTTAAGCATTTGCAAAGCAACATCTACAATAAGCGAAATGTTACTACGGTTAGCTACGTTGCACACATTGATAGATACGCTACAATAGAGGATATAGTCAATAGATATAATGTTTTATTTGAATGCTAATAAGTATCATATTTATAAGCATATAATGTCCAGTGTATAACACTAAGATACTGTATACGCAGTCATATAATGAACACGATTAATAGGCGTTATCAGGCGAATGTACTATAGAGAGCGTTAATGACGTACACAAACACCAATATTATACATTGACTACAGCAGCAACAATAATGATATGCTAATGAATGCGCAAGATTATTTATTAATAAAAACAAAGTTAAAGACTTACTGGTTAATCGGTTGAAAACATCTGTATTATTATTATTGAACAGGCAGCAAGAATGTCAAGAGTGAGCACTGCCAGCTGTAGTGACGACCTGCTATGTACTAATTCATTTTTGTTCACACACCTCGCCAATGACGTATTGTTAACGTTTTAAGTGGAATGACAGCGAACGCTAAAAATAAAATATAGATATAGATATTGAAACCGTTTATGATTAAAGTGTGATGTAATACCACCTGAAACAAGTCTTATTTGTGTTGCATGTACATGAATCACTAGATCATTTTTACAAATAAATAAGACACTGGTGACGCATGTCGAGAAGAGGAAAGCTACTCTAGTCAATTTCAAGCTGCTATTATATGTATACTGTTTATCCAAATTTCTACCATAAATATGATGTCGATAGTATTGAGAAAATACCGAATTCAACAATCGGCCGCCATGGCGCGCAACTACCGTATGTTGCTGAGTAGGCCGATCATGGCACCGTTGTCATTGCCCAGAATGACGGTTGCCGGGCTGCACCAGAGCGTACCTCGACGCACGGGAATAAGCATGGAGGACGCGCGCAAGGATTTGGATAGTCATCGCGCGGAAGCGTACTCTAAGGCCGAGCAGTTTGCTAGCAAGACCCGTGCGCTACGTGAAGGCGTGAAACAGAAAATATCGATGGTCTCGCCGGCTAATAAGGGTGTGGTGGATACGCTTATTGACAATTATTCGCGATCGTTGCTCGAGCTACAAGAGCGAGTGCAACAGCATGCACGTCATGTCGACGAGGAAATAACCATGCTGAATGCTCAACTAAGCGACGATATCGTACAAGAAGCAGATGATATACGCTTGGCGGATCGTCGTCTAGATGAAATGCTCGCCAGAGCGAATCGTATAGTCGACGATGATACGCGTCGGTTGCAGCATCGATTGCAGAGTATGACCACTGGATCCGGTTACTGGTGGACGACGTTGAGCTAGGCTCGCATAACTGGCACCTTCATAACTTGGAAGCGTCAGGTGCAGATAATAGCGTACCTGCAAATAAAAGCAGTCAAGCCAAGAGTGCTGCCGATAGCAGGTATGTAATAAGATTGTTTGGCGGCAAGTGTCGTAGTGATGTACTTATGGAGTTATCAATGATATAGCGACAATACGAAGCTTCCGGTACAGGAAATCATGGAGAAGGTTAGCGGCAAGCTTGGTCGAGACTTGCCCGACAATGTTAGCCATCCAACTCGCCAGTACGCGCGAGGAATGTACGATGACGTTGCCGATGCCGTGGAGAACATTGATCATAAGGCAAAGCGCGCTACGTTTGCCATGGGCAGTGCAGCCGAGACTATGGGCGAGAAAGCGGCCAACATGGGCAGTAACGTTAAGGAAGCGATCAAGGAAACGGCACAACAAGCTAAAGAGGGCGCGCAGGGTCAAATGAAGAAAGCGGCTGATACACTTGAGACACCGGTCAGTAATCTTGGAGAGAAGGCCAGAAATGTCGGTAGTAGTCTTAAGGAGGCGACGAAGAGCGCGACACAACAAGTGGAGGATAAGATGAGTGAGCTAGGAGGTAGCATTCAAAATAAGGTGAACGAGGCAGGAGAGAAAATCCGAGAAATGGGCAGCGATATGCGAGGTAGAGCACAGCAAGCTGGAGAGAAGGCCAAAGAGATGGGAAGCGATATGCGAAATAAAGCACAAGAGAAAGCTGAAGAAATGGGAAACGACATGCAAGGTAGAGCACAGCAAGCCGGAAAGAAAGCTAAAGAGATGAGCAGCGATATGCGAATAAGTACAGAGAGAGCTGAAGAAATGGACAGCGATATGAAAAACAAGACACAACAAGCAGGAGAAAGAGCCAAAGAGGTGGGCAGCGATATGAGGAGCAAGGCACAACAAGCAGGAGAGCAGGTTAAGGAAATGGGCAGCGGTGTAATGGGCACTTTCCGTCAAATGAAGAACGAGATACAAGGAGAAGCCGGTCGTACGATCGATGCAGTAATGGGTGCTCGCCCCGGCATGAGCAAGAGGAGTGCCGAGGAATCGTTGCAAGACACGACGACCAATATAAGACAAGAAGCCGGTCGTACGGTAGATGCAGTCATGGGTGCTCGTCCTGGCATGAGCAAGGAAAGTGTCGATGAAAAGTTGCAAAGTACGGCGACCAACATAAGGCAGGAACTCGCCGAACGATCGATGCGGTGGTAGGTGGTGGTTCCAGTGTGGGCGGCAAGAGCACCAAGGAATCGTTGCAGGATACGGCGACCAACGTAAAGCAAAAGGCCAAGTCTGGCTACGATACGCTCGCGGCCAACATGTCACAAGATCCTAAGCACATATTCGAGGAAAAGATGGGCAATGCTTATGATATGTTGAAGGATGGCATGGATATGACAGGTTTAGCCGAAGCAGCCAAGTCAAAGGTGGAGCCTATCGTGGATAATGCAAAGCAAACAATGGCATCCGTTAAGGATCAAGCGGTTAAAGCGGGTGAACGAGTCAGTAGTGGCGCGAGTGCTGCTGCTGCCACCGCCGCTGCCGCTACAGGTATGAATACAGGTAAAACGGTGCCGTTAAACGAGCTTCGAGGTGTGGCTGCCTACGACTTGATTGAACGTATGGAAGAGGTGCAGGATCATCCGGCTGAGTTGAACAGTCTACGCAGTGCAGAGATCAATATGTACGGCAATGATCGTAAATTACGTGAAGCGGTGTTTACATGGTCTGAAGATGCCCTACTGGAGAATAGCGATGAAGCAGCACCACCGAAACACGACATTCGTACGGCTGTTGGTTCGATAATTACGGCAGCGCCTGGTTCCTCCTCCTCCTCTTCTCCTACTGCAGGTGCTTCGACTGATAAAAATGAATTTGACGATGAAGCATTGAACGCCTTGCTTGATGAAGCAGAAGATTTCGGTGCAACCATTCATGAAATCCTAGTGATATGTTGCGTCGCAAGCCTCGTCATGTCCGTTAAGCGTGCTTGATTGTTTGCAAACAAACAAATTTGATCGTCGTACGTAATCGCCTCAATTGCTGCATGATGCGCTCGTCTTTCTTTCTCTCTTTCTTTTCCCATTTACTGGCGATTTTATTAGTTAGCCATACAGTGTTTTTCCATCCAATTTGCGCATTTATCCTTTAACATTTGCAGTTTATTAATAAATAGATTAGCACAATTGTTAACACCATTATTGCATTACTATTATTATTGAGTAGTTGTCATTGCCCTAGCAGTTGAGGATTATTGCTACTCACATATTGCAATTAGTGATAACTATTATTTATTCATAAAACAGAAAGCTAACTGCGCAAATTGGATGGAAATGGCCTGTAGCTGTAATAAATCAATCATTACCATTAATCTATTATTATTATTATTATTATTATTATTATTATTATTATTATTATTATTATTATTACGCTTTAACATGTATACGTGATGTACCCGACTTCAACTGGAAAGCTGTCGTCACTCTACGATATAATCCACAGCCCCTTAAATCAAGTATCACTAACCATATTGCAGTCGTTAGCGCACTCCGGGCAATCCACCGTACACGAATGGCGAGTATATATGGCGACAAGCCAACTGATCACACAACCATCTTTTATATATGGCAATCCATACTTAAAGACATCATATACGCTAAACGCCGTACGGCAATTGTACAATCCTCTCTTCAATCCTTCTATCAATAATGGCAATGGTTATCCAGCTGTCTAAGAATGGATTTCGTCAATATCTCTATTGATTAACATTGAATTTTGTTATCTTTATTCACATTAATCAATAAACACTTTTCGCAACATGTATACGTGATGTAATCTCAATTACTTTATTGTTACTGTTTAATGATTAATGATAAACTGATAATGGTATGTTTATTCGCTATGATAATTACTTGCGATACCACATTTTAACATTGCGACTACGGTGTACCTTACGCTGTAATTGTAGCACGCCATACATCAATGCCTCCGTAGTGGGTGGGCAGCCTGGCACGTAGACATCCACGGGCACGATACGATCGCAGCCACGTACTACTGCGTATGAATAGTGATAGTAACCACCGCCATTGGCGCAAGAGCCCATGGAAATGACCCAGCGCGGTTCAGGCATCTGATCGTACACCTTACGCAATGATGGTGCCATCTTGTTCGTAAGTGTACCCGCCACGATCATACAATCGG